CAACTTTCGACATCGTGGATATTTGCGAAAACATGGTGAGCTAAATGTGATGAAGCAACCATATAGCTGATTTACCTCCTTGTGGTTATGATTTCAAACACGTACCCATAGCATGCAAGCAAGGACGGGGCGGATCCAGGAATTTTCGGGGGGGGGGGGGGGCTTTCATCAGCAAAAAAATAAGAAATGCACACAGTTTTTTTTTTTAAATCTAAAAATTAATGTGGCCTGACGTTGCGAATTTAGCAAGTTCTTCTTCAGAGGCTAAAACAGAAATGACAGAGGTACATACATTAACATGGGGGTGCACACAAACATGCAGGGCTGAAAGAAGAAACACAAAAGGAGGATTAGGTGGGAAAGGTGTGGAAAGATGCAGGGGAGGGTTGATGAGAGAACAAAGAAACAAAGGGAGATGGCAAACCACAAGGGGTCTGGTATAAACAGGGGAGGGACCAGAAAGGGGAAGGATCAAAGGTCACAGGGAGTGGGAACGGACAAAAGAGTGTGAGAGTGAAGGGGGATGATGCGGGGGGGGGGGGGGGGGGAAACAGTATGGAGGTGGAAAGGGATGAAAGATGGGTAAAAACAAACAAGGAAGACCAGGTGGATTATCTGTAACAGAAGACAATGGAGGAAGAAAAGGATTAATCATTTCCAAGTTGGATGTTGAGACCATGTGGTTGAATAGTTCGAAGACGATTCATCCACACTTTCTCTCTGCTGCGGCGAACTGAGTCCTTGCGATGGCCAAGAGATTCAATGCCCTGCAAAATCATATCAGATATGGAGTGGTTAGGCAGGTTGAAGTGATGACCAACAGGGGTGTCTAGTTTCTTGGTGTTGACCGTTGACCGGTGGGCATAGAGACGCTTCTTGAGTGTATTCTTAGTCTCACCTACATACTGCACTCCACAGACCCTGCAAGAAATGAGATATATGACATTAGAGGTGTTACAAGTGATGTTACCAATGGTTCTGTGGGTAGTGACAGAAGAGTGGCCAGAAAAGGAGTCAGACTCCTGGATATGAATCTGGCAGACAACACATCTGGAACTGCACTTGAAAGTACCATGCTGGGTGGGAGGGGATGCATCTAAGGATGGGACTTCAGCTCGAACAATCAAGTCCCGTAGATTTCGAGGACGCCTGTAAGCCAATGTGGGGCCGTTGAGGATGGCGCGGGCAAGGCGATCTGAAGTATGGAGGATATGACGATTGTCGTTAGTGATTTTGCGAAGGGGAGGGAGATTGGGGTGAAACGTGGTAACCAAGGGAATCATGGGTTTGGCCATGGCATCAGGGGCCTTTCCCGTGTGAGCTAGACTTCTGGGGATAGCTTTAGCTCTGGCAATGGCACGATGAACTTGGCGAGAGCTGTGACCCCTGGCCACCAAGTTGTTCCTCAGTATCTGTGTATGGCGGGAGAAATCGGAATCATTAGAACAAATTCTTCTGAGTCTGAGTGCCTGGCTAAACGCTATGCCAGTTTTGCAGTGCCTGGGGTGACAGCTGGAGGAGTGGAGGTACTGGTGGGTGTCTGTGGGTTTGGAATACAGGTCAGTGGTTAGTGAGTTGCCTTGCTTGCGGACGGTGACATCCAGAAAGTGGGGTTTGGTGAGCCGAGAACTCCGATGTGAATTTGATGGTTCTGTGGAAGGAATTGATGTGGTTAGTGAAGGTCAAGAGACTGTCCTCATCACTGGTCCAGATGAAAAAAAACATCATCAATATATCTCCACCAGATCCAAGGGCGACATGGGGCCGAGGCAAGAATGCGTTCTTCGAGGTCACCCATGAAGAGGCAAGCCATGGAGGGGGCCATGCGAGTGCCCATTGCAGTGCCGTGTACCTGTAGATAGTGTTCACCAAGGAAGGAAAAATTGTTCTTCGTTAGTATAAGTCTCATGAGGGTGCCAACATCACTGATGGGAGGAGTCGTGTGTCCTGCCTTGGCCAGAGCCAAGGAGCAAGCACGAACACCCTCCTCATGTGGGATGTTGGTGTACAGAGATGAAACGTCGAAAGTCCCAATGATGGCTGTGCTGGGAATCTGGTCCTTGATTCCTTCAAGCTTGCGTAGGAAGTCTGGGGTGTCGTGAACGTATGACGAAATCTGTGGGACAAGGGGTTTGAGAAAACTGTCAATGAACAGGGAGATGCGTTCCGTGGGTGAGCCATTACCGGAGATGATGGGTCTACCGGGGTTGCCAGCCTTGTGAATCTTGGGTAGAAGGTAAAATCTGGCAGTCCTACAATCACAGGGAGAAAGAAATTTATGAGCTTTCTTGGACAACTGGTCACGTGATCGCATATCGTCAAGTACCTGTTGTATATCTCTACAGAATGTGCCTGTGGGGTCAGAGTCAAGGCGGGTATAGTTAGTGCGATTATCCAACTGGCGGTGGGCCTCATCAATGTACTGCTGACGATCCATGATGACCACAGCTGAACCTTTATCTGCTGGTTTGATGATGATGTCGGTGCGAGAGCGCAAGGAGTTGAGAGCCAGGCGCTCCTCTCTGGGGAGATTATCATGAGTCCTGTGGGGGAAGTTGTCCGGCTTAGTTTTTTTTTTTGCCGGTCATTTGGCCTCCGAATAGAGAACATATAACCACAGAAAAGAGAACATATAACCTCTAACCAAGCTGGCTCTGTCCATACTTTGTGCAAAGGCGAAAATTTTGGGTGGGGGGGGGGGGCGGCCGGGGCTACGCATTTTTTTCCCAGGAATTCTAGGGGAAAAAAAATTGTGACAGAGCTGGGTTTTTGGACCCCCCCCCCCAACCCCCTCTGGATCCACGCCTGAAGGAGGTTGAGCTGGCGTATTTTTTGGGGGAAGGAATTGGACATTTCAGTCAACACTTTGATTACCAGAGTTTTGAAGTTTGGTCAGTAACCATGACCTCCAAAAGTACCCGCCTTGTGTTTTTCATCATTTATCAATCACTTTTTGGTCAATTGACATTTTCAGCATTTCTGGATGAGGTCACACTGTTGTTTGATGATCATGAAAAGAGCCTGTCATGCTTGTTGTTCTTTTGCTAATTCTCAACTGGTTTTTTTTTTCAGGGTAACTTTACGTCTTTTAACTTGCAACGAAACTTTTTTTTACTGGGGGGTTTGGCATTTTTCTCATGTTTTGTTTAATTTTTTTGCTCATTTTTTTAATATTTGTTTTTAAATTGCGTGCATTGAAACTTATTAACTTTTTAATGTTTAATGTGGACATGCACAATAATTGGGTCTTTGAACTATAAATTTTTGGTTTTTTTATCTTATTTTTTCTCATTGTAGTATTTTGATGTTAATTTTGGGGATAATCATATCTATTTTTTTTGTTTAACTGGGACGTTAATGTTTTAGCATTTACACCTCTGCCATTTTTAATATATTTGTTTATTGTTAATACAATTTTATAGATTTTTATAGATTTATATATTTCTTTGTGTAGCCAGAGGTATTGGAATTGAAGGCCTTCTGGCCACAGTTTTTAGGTAAACTTTTTTAATTCCAGGCATATGCCCCTGGCTTTCGTTTTTGTTATCTTGGTTTTTGTTTTTTATATTTTGTGAATGTTTGTTATTTGTATGTGCTGTTAATGCCGAATAAATAATAATAATAATAATAATAATAATAATAATATCGCCAGACTTGCACCACTTGTGATTTGTGGTAACCTAAACATTCACTGTGACAATCTCTAAGCAATCAACACAAAGGTGATTCAATGACTCTAATACTGAAATCACACATTCTTTCCCAGGATATTGAATCGCCAACCCATGAGCGTGGTCACATCTTGGATGCCTTCATCAAAATTTACGCAGTCCAATGTAATTGCAGGGTTATTGTGCCCGGTACGATTGTCAACCCACAGCGCGAATGTGTTTGCATGCGATTTGCGGTCTATTCGCACAGTCTATAATTATAGGAGTCTTGACTGTACGGTATGATTCTTTACTGAGGATCGATGATTTTCTTCCGATGCGAAGCACAAAAAGAAGACGCAGTTGCCCAAGACAGATATTCAATTTTTGGGGGGTCAGTTTTGTTTCAGATCCATTTGGGTTGGTTTTTGCATGATTTTTGTCAGGTTGGGTCAAGTCCGGTTAGGGGAGTTAACTCGGATCAGTTTTGGCTCAGATTTGGTACGTATCTGGGTTGGTTTGGCCTGGTCAACCGACCCAATGCACAACATTACCGCTCACCTAACAAGAAATGTCTGTGTTTTTCCTGGAACTGGAGCGACTATGTGGCCTGTAAAATTAAAGAAAACACCATTGAATGTTGTTTCAAAATAAGATGCCTTCTGGCACAATTTGACACGGGTTAGCAACGGAATCCAGTTTAGGAGACCCCAACAAATTTTCATATGTGTTTGTTGGGCTTAACCATGAGCAGGTCCTAATTTTGTTGCGCTACTTTAACCGATTTTGTGCTAACATAGCCTCCATCTATATCATAGAGACTGTATTAAAGCAGTAAGCACAGCAAAAACATTCTTCACCCCGGATAAAAAATTGTTTAAATCAGTGATGTTATAATATAAATCTCCATGCGCGCGCAACCATTAGCAAGTCCACACCATGAAATAGTGCTTAAGCAAAAGTATCATTTTCGGCTACAGTTTATAAGCAAACCTTTTCTACTAAACTGTTAAGCAGCACTATGACATTGGGCCCAGGTTAGTTGTTGTGCACCGTCCTAATGATTTTCAGCAATTTTACTGCTTGCAAGGAAAAAAACACACAAAAGCAAATGATCCTTTGTACCTTTAGATCAAAAATCATATTTCTTTTTTCATTCAGCAATCCTAGCTTGAAAAGAGATTAGATCCTTCCTGATGCAATTATTGCTGAAAGTGCAACCACTTTTTAAGTTCTTGGCTACGTTTATATATTTTTTTAGATTGTTGTGATCTGAAATTTGAAGATTGACTTGACATAAGTGTTTGCATATCTGTTTATTTTTGAAAATATGTTTAATCTATTTGACAGGAGTTAGAAAGACTATCTTTAGTTATCAACAATATAGATGAAAGAGGTGATGCCACGAAAGCCTTGATACAGCTTCAGCAAAAAGCAAGAGTGATTGAGACAATGTGTTCTCAAATCAGGCCTTCATCTGATGCAAGGTATTTACTTTTCTGTTATGCATGTTGGTAGTCCAATAGTAAACGCATGATATTGAGTGTTCATCACAAGTTAACCCACACAGTTACACCATACAGCAAGGAGCAGAAGGAGTTACAACTCCCTCAACTACAAAGGTTCCATGTCTGTTAGTACGGTTGTAAAACAGCTGGATTCGCGACCGCAGCTAATGAGTAGAGCAACAAGACCGGAGCGCTTATCGGCTGATCTTCATGGTGACATCATCTGAAAAAAAAAACACAATGCAGTGCGTGATGTAGCATCCATGCCAACAAAAAAATGGCAGCTTTGTATTCAGCACTGAGGTTTTGATGATTATGAATTTGCAACGTTAATGTTGATGGGCCCAATTTTACATTTAATCGAAATTTTTAGAACAGGAATGAAACCAGTCATTTGATAGCTTGGCACTCGTAGATAATGGAAATATAACTTCAGAGTGATTTTTGGATCAGACTAATTAACTTAAGAGTGGTGCACAAAACGCGGAGGGGGCTTGGCCATCACCCCTCTCCTGTTCCTTTTTGCTGATACTGGTGCAACACGACAAAATAGGAGAAAACGAAACCAGTTTCTATTGACTTGGCACTTGAAGCACATGAAAATATAACTTAAGAGTGAGTTTAGGTCCGACTATTAAATTAACTTAACCAGTTCATGTATGCACGCAAAGGTTTTGCGGTATTTGGAACGGATGAGGGATAAACACGCAATGAGCGAGGCCAGAAATATGTGTCTGCGACCTGCTCGCAGTGAGCGAGGCTGGAAATATCAGAGTGTGCTACCCCCAGATGATGGCCTGAACCAGTCTGGCATCAAGGTTCGTGAAAAACAATCCTGTACCTGGGTTGGTCAATGTCAAAATAATCCTGGCGCGAACTGGATCATGCCAAGTTTCCCTCTCATGTTTACTGATGTCTTTCAGTTATTTGAAACCAATTTTATGAAGAAAGAGCACCCCTTCGTCGCAAAATGTCCAGTCTACTTTACTCAACTTACCTGTAGAGCAATCTAATGGATGCATACTCCCTATACCAACCAAGAGTTTGCACAATAGTGCCCCCTCGTGTCCTACCCATAGTGCCGGCGGCATGTATGCCTTGTGAGCGTCCTCTTTTCTCTTAGCAGCAGGTCGGGGAGGACGTGCTTATAATACACTCGTATTATTCGTCATTTTTTTGCTACCTTTTATCGATTAAGAGAAGATTTGATTAAAGAGTTATTAGCAGAGTTACAGTTTCGTCTTGTGAGATTATTTCTTAGAATGAGTCGTTCGGAGAGGACTGGCCCTGTCACATATGGGGAATGAAAATTCCGCCGGGACAGACCAAGTTCTTGGGAGTTATGGATTATGGATTTTCTGACTTAACAACAGCAGCGAGTATGATAAAATAATATTTTATCTGAAATTAACATGTGCAATACTGGTACCCTGCAAGGAAATGCTCTGTCACCAACATTGTGTTTAATCTTAATTCAAATGATTTTATTTGTACAGATCCATCTTCTTGTTTTACTGTAAAGTATGCAGATGATACTTACCTTGTTGGATTGATTTCAAACAATGATGTCAGTGGATACAGGGACAATGTGAATAATTTTGTTTCATGGTGCAATGATAACTATCTCACCCTCAATGCTGCTAAATGTAAGGAAATGGTATTTGATTTTAGGAAAAAGAGGAGCGATCATGAGTCTTTACATATCACGAATGTTGCTGTTGACATTGTTTCTGACTACAAATACCTGGATGTCCACATTGATAATAAACTGAATTGGAAGTGCAATACTGTAAAAGTCATCGCTAAGTGTAACCAACGTCTGTATTTTCTTAAGGGCATAAAGTCATTTAATGTTCATAGTGATATTATATATTTGTTTTATCGGGCAGTCATTCAATCTGTTTTATCATTCTGTAGTGTAGTTTGGTATAGTGGGATGTCTTCAGGAAACATCAAAATATTTATTTGGGTTTTCAAATCTGCAAGCAGGTTGGTTGTTGCTGATGTTAAGCAGTTCGACTCATTGTGCAATAATGCTTGTCATGGGAACAATCACGGTTGCGGGCAGCACCATCGCAAGCTCCGGGCATGGGGGGGGGGGCACAGTACAAAGAAAAAACACACTTAGATATAGTTTTTTATATGCTTATGGTTTTTGCCAATAGGGGGGCCAGTTGTGCATCAGCGGGGCCCAGCCCCCCCCCCCCCCCAGGCGACAGGCCTGGTTGCTAGGCCTTTGTGTTAACACTACTTTTATTTAAAATGTTGCAAAATGCATGATTCAATCTGAATAATCTCTTTATTCACAGTTTCAGTGGTATTTCAACTTCAGTGGATACAGAATCTTCCTCCCACCTTGATCAGTCCAGCACGGTCACACTGGATACTGGTGACCAGAGTTATGATGAGCTGCTGCCACCATTAATTAAATCAGATCGTCACTCGCTTATTATTGGCAACAATTGGGTACTTCACAACAACAGTAGCTCTGGATTGACAAATGGACACTCTTTAATAGTTGATCCACCAGAAACAAATGGTGAAATTCAAAATGGATATGATACACATCCCACAAACAATCTTGAACAGAGGACAAATATGATAGTAAATGGCATCACAAGCTGTTCCTCAGGAAATCTGTCGGCAGTGTTCGAGTGCAAGTGTTTAAGGAGCAAAGAAGTGACTTGCAAAAATATCCACAACAGTAACATGAATGCATTTGTGAACGGTCATGAAAAATGCCCTGAAACTACAGCATTTGTGAATAGCAACCAGGTGACAGCTAACATGTTTCTTGGCTTCGCACCAACACGGATCAATGAGCTACCTCCTTTACCTCCCCCTCCTCCACCAATTTTAGGTAAGTTGGACTTCATGTTTTGGGGTTTGTTTTTGTTTTTGTTTTGTTTTGTGTTGTTTTTGTTTATTAGTTTGCATTTTTTTGCTCGCATTTCTTCAACTGAGCATGCTGGTTTGAGTGCTCTTATGAGACATTTAATTGGTTTTAAAGTTTTATTTTGTATCATTTTACATAGAGTGTTACCATAGAGTGTTACCATTTATTTATGAAGCAATGATGTAACTCGTTGTAACTGAACGGTTACTGTAAGACTGGTATCTGCTCTTGTGCCACACTTGGGCACAATGCTGTGTAACATCACCAAAGGATGTGTACATGTATACACATACAAATAGTTGACGTTGAACAATAGTATACACATATAGCCTGGCAATGAAGTCACCAGTGCACGTCTATGTGCCCCGAGGGACTGTGAGTGACTGACCAGAAGAGGACTCACAGGCCCGAAGGGGGCATAGATGTGCACTAGCGACCGAATTATGCCAGTCCATATGTTTTATAACACACCTCTGTCCAAAATATAAAATAAGAAAAGAAACTTTGTCTTTTAGTTGAAGTGTTCTCAACAATTAACTCTTAAGTCACTCGGAATTCAACCAACTGCTTCTCAGAACCACACAACTCACAAAGAGATATCATTCACATGGTGTTACTGCAAACCTCCCATTCATTGATCATGTCTCCATGCAAACCTTTAAGCCTCATTTAACTTATAAGCAATCCAACAATAAGCAATTAAACACAATACATGGAAGTTGAAACAGAGGGCGCTGTAACTAGTTGAAAATGTGTACGTGCGCAATGTCTTGACGCACAAGGACGACCTCAATTAGAAAATGTGATGTTGAGTTTGAATTGTTGAGTTTGAATTGCAACAAGCTACGCCTTTCACTTAAAGACTGGTTAGGGATTAAATCGTTAGGGATTAAATCTACACTCAAAGTAAGTGAATTTCATCCCGGTCATCTGTTTGTCATAACAAAAAAACAATATGCACTGACATCCACTGTTAAACCAATTGAAACTGTTGTCAATCAGTTTCATTCTCACAAGATAATCTCTAGAATGGAATCTGATATTACCAATCTTCGGAGATGTCATTGTCACCACGCACTGAAACCACTCATGTACACTCTTTGGAAATTAGGCTATTTTATGGGAAACTTAGGGGGGCTTCTTTTGATCAATTTTGGGGCTTCTTTGGCAAACGGACTAGTGCAAAACCTCAGCGTGTTTTTTGCATGGGACGGCGGCCTCGGCTTGTATGCCCAATCATTTCATGGAAGGCGGCAAGAGCTTATTGTGCACTCGCACTTGTTTTTGCACGGGCCAATATTAAACATCAGAGAAAGATAAATGATAAAACTAAAATAAAATGGGTTAAGACTAGACAGAGGGATGTTCGCTGATTTTTTTGAATGCAAATTTAAAGACAAACAATAAAATTAACTAAAAATGTTAAACTTTTATATGCCTGTGCATCTGCGGGTAGTACTGGAACTGGGCACCCGATGGAAAAAATACAGGTATCCGGGTACCAGTCAAAGAAACACAACCCAAAACTTCCGATCCCAGAAGTTGGTAACTAAGTTGCATAAATAAAGGGTGCGCTACTGCGCATGATAATACTATCACGTTGATGCATTATTAGTGTAGCGGTACGCCATTAAGGAGGTCCGCTCAAATGATTAGATTTAAGGACGCCAAGGACAATCAAGACAAACAGAAAGAATCAAGGAGTCAAGTTATGCTTGGTCTCATGAACTTGTTCACAAGAATCGATTACAATAATAAACACCCGATCTCAATTTTAACTCACAAAAGCAAGTGTTACAAAAAGCATATAAGATTCAATTTCTAGAAGATATACATTTGCCAATGATAACTTACAATCACAAAGTTTGTATTTCTAAAGTTGCCCTAAGGTTGAAAGTGCCCTAAGAATAAAAGTGAGGTTCCTAATCACTATGAACATCTTCATCCCTTAAAAATTCGTTAAAGAGCCATTTTCCCTTGAAATTACAGTTAACAAAATTTTCACGGATTTTTTAACATATAAAGCCAGATTAGGAGTCCGTGAAAACACCCTTAAGAAAGTCGTTTGTTTACCCATGGAGATAGACCCAGCGTACCGCTATGTATAGCCAATGATAATCCTCAGTGGCCAGGGTCATTAAAAATCTGTGAAAATACCCCTACAGGATTAGTCCTATATAAGCCCCATGTAAATGTCCGTGAAACATCTTTTAAAGATTCTTTTCACGGACAAATGGACTTTTAATGAATTTTTAAGGGATGAAGTTGTTCACAAGATTCCCAGGTTCCCCGAACGGCTGGCCAGTGTATGGCTGTGTTGTGAACTCGGCCTTCCAAATTGCACCTGACATGAAACAGCCATATTGCAATAAATCAACATGGGACTTACACGATGTACAAGGTGATTAAAACTTTGAGATTACGATGACTAATTCACCCCAAAATCACTGCTTTTGTCAACATGAAATACACTAAAACCTAGCCCAGCGGTAGCAGAGAACTTGCATTATGACACTAGAATGTACAGAAAATACAAATGTCGCTCATTTTAAACTAAAATGTTGGTTTTTAAGCACAAATCTATACACATAATACTCACACTTTGGTGTGCAGGCAAAAAAGGGCTGATATTTGCGCGTTCACGCACTGAGTACAGGCGTTTATATACATTTTTCTGGGCTGTGTGCCAATTGTACGGTGCCTCGTAAAAGATGTCTCACTACATTAGTATGAACAATAAAGGTCAGACTGTCAGAGGAGTTATAAGTATCAATAACTATTAGTCATTTAAAAACTGGTAAGCTTTGTAGAGGCGAGAGAAGTGTCGTCAGCCACAATAATCTGAGCCACGACAAACAGGAGCGATGACAAACATCAGTACAACATTGCATAACATGCATTCTCACTCGGAGACCAGCGGCATGGCTACCCCTCCACTGAAACCTGGCGTCCGTAGAAAAGCGCAGGCATATCAGTTACCATGATTAGCTGGAAGAACACAAAGTGCCTTTCTTCCGCGATTTTGTACGTAATTTTTTTTAGCAACAGTCCCTTTTTTGGTGTCCAGTCCGTCCCCCCCCCCCCCCCCATTTGATTTTACAGAGGGCGGGTGTCCGGTAAAAATAACCGGTCTACCTTTGAGCCCCTCCATTGTAACCTTGAGCCATCCCATAGGCCCCCTAGGATGAGAACCCTGGCTACGCCGCTGTCGGAGACATGCCCGTTGCGTCAGCAGCGGTAGTGAAGGTAGACTTCTTCGTCATGTTTGACCTTTTCTTTAAAAATATGCAAAGGTCACATGAATATGTATGGAGTATGATATGAATATTAAACTATGGGGGGTAAGATATTTGGGCCAAGTTTGACCTGGTGTATGGACGGAAATGAATTTGGAATAGGATAGGGTAAGAAACCGAATACAGTTTGACCTAATGTAAGGAAAGATTGCCCTAATGTATGGGCAAAATACATGTATATAATTTCAATACAGCATAGTTTACGAACGTATTGCTATGAGTTGTACAATGTAACGGTGGTCAGTGAACAGCTGTTGTGTTAGATAATCGTTGGACAAAGGGACTGTAAGTGGCAGGGCCCATGTGCGCTCCACATGCCACCAGAAGTAGTTAATCCCTAGAACAACAGGTGGCTGGAAGGGATTTAGTGACCACTCTGTGTGGTCCTGAAGTAATGAACAATTTTACAAGTGAGTCATAGTTATACGTAAAAAAAGTAAGTGTCAGACTACCGATCATTTGGTCATTTATGCACCCTTGAGGAATAGTATAAAGTCGTATAGAGCTACAGCACCGCGTAACACTGAGTAAGCTGAACGTCATCAAACATGTATACTGAGAAATACAAAACTGTCAAACTTACAAAGAGCTCGGTATCATCCTGGACACCGTTGAACTCAACGCTGATCAATCGGCTTTTGCTCTTAATTGGCTGTATGAGCTGACTTTACATTGCAACTAAGATGATGAAGAAGACTTGCCGTATCAGTATGGGTACGGTAATGACGACTTTTAAGATGATTCGAAGGTACCGGCTGAGCAAGATTCTCAAGCGGACGACGGCGACTCGGATGATGATAATCTGTGGGCAGCTGCTGAGGAAGATTTTCAAGAGGACATGGAGAATCAGCGGCCGAGGAAGAGGATGCGAGTGGAGAGATCAGCAGATTATTACAAGAGTCTACAGCGCTCATCTTACCCGTAGAGCCACTACCTACGCATATTTCCCCAGAGGGCGCAATACATCCGCTAAGAGTTCACACAATAGGATACCCACTGTGCCCCGTGGCCCGGCCGCCATCTTAGCTTCCTCTTCTCTCTTGGCGTCGGATGGTGAAAGATTGTTTCTTCACCGGCGGAAAAATCTCGGGTTTTCTTCACCATCCTACGTCCGCTTGAGATTATTTCTTTGAATTTAATACAGTAGAGTTTGTCTTCAATCTGTGTATCTTCATTTGTTTGAGTTTCGATCTCCGTAAGAACATATTTTCATTCAATTTTTTACGTTGATTGTAATGGAAAGGAGAACGGCTAAGGGCCCGACAGGACCCGTGGAGGGAATTTCCACGGGACCGCCGGCCTCTCTAGAGGCACAAGGTCGGGAGGCACCCCCCCCCCCTCCCCTGGACCTCACCTCGACCGTAAATCTGCTGGAGGCACCCCCCTCCGCCTGTAGATTTCACCCCGTCACTCGGAAACGGGTGATGGTGACCCCAAAGGCCGGGAAACGGGCTACATTCAGCCCGCTCCACCGGCCGCGTTCTACGGGGAAATAAGAGCCGAACCTCGGCAGTAAGCTGCAAGGGCAAGCGGGGCACCCCCCTCGCAAAATTGCCCTCCAAGGCCTCTGGACAAGCCATATCGAGCTCCGTGTCCAAGGCTTCCGACACGCCCGGCATGACCGGGCGACCGGAGATAGCCCATGGGTCCCCCACAGGTGATGGCCCCCCGGCTAGCTCCGCTTCACGAGTCGAGTCGGCTCTAACCACCACCGGCCCGCCAGGATTCGGCCCGCCGTTGGGAGAACTACAGCGGCCTCCGAGTTTATCTTTAACTTCAGAGTTTTTCCGCTGTTCCGGAATACCTGCGCCACCGCCTATTTCTGAACCATCTTCGGGAGAACAACGCGGTCGCCAGGCCAAGAACGGGAAGTCTCACCGTAAAAGACGTCTTTACTGGTCAGAATCGGAGTCTTCCTCAGACCGATCCCAATACTGGGCCAAACGCCGTAAGCACGTGGGATCAGTCTCCACGGCCGACTTTTTCCAAGCCTTCCAGGCATTTTCGGCCTCCGTTTCAGCCATATCAGCGGCGGGTTTTTCGGCGGGACAACTCGCCCCACTTGCGGGACAGTTCGCCCCCTACGCGGGTCAACTCGCCCCACAAGGTGAACACGCACCAGGAATGAGTCAAGTCGCCCCCTACATCGCTCCATCAACACGCATGGGTGCTGAACGGTCACATCAGCGCGATTCGGCCGCGAGACAACTCTCTCCCGATTTCGCCCCCAATGTTGCCCCGTCAACTACACATGAACCCGGCCAGATTCACCGCGATCAGTTACATCTTCCACACACTGTGAGTCGTCCTCCTGATTCGCCCCCGGCCATTTCCATTCATCCATCCGCTCATTTTTCTGACTCGGATGGTGATCTGGTACCCGGTCCTGTGGATCATCACCAGCGCAAGGACACTGAGGTACATGCTGGGTCTTTGGCAAAGGGTTCGCTGCATCCTTCTCGATCAGACCATGGTTCCGATGACGAGGGTGAAGATGTCATCAATACTCGACACCTCTCCCCACTGGAAACCCATTTTCGGCTTGTCCAACGTGATATGATCTGCTTTTTGGGCCTACCAGAGTCGACTATGCCGGAACCAGATCTCGCTCCGAAACATTCCTTCAAACAGCGCACAGCATTGGATGAACCAGCGGGACATTTAACGCCTTTCTGCTCTTCCGCTTGACCAGTTTTGCATAAAGCACATCCAGAACATCATCAACCGCAAAGACTGGAAAGCCTTTGATTATCGGGCCAATGCGTATTTCCGCTATCCCCGAAAGATTTTGAAGGCTACTTGACTGTGTCACAAGTTCTGGACTCTTTCAAAGAT